CTAGCAGCTACGCCCCGCCTCTTCGCCTTACCCCTGCCACAGCTGAAGACTTTCCAACGCTGATTTCAACAAATTTAAACGTTACATGCGAGCAGATTTCAACGCGATCATCGATTGCTCGTGCACCCACACACACACACACACTCGGCAGCAGCGGCAGCAACAGTTGCTGCCGCAGCGGCTGTTTTGCTTGCAGCATGACGCAACTGCAACTCCTTGCCCTCAGGTGTTGCGCGAACGGTTTTCTTATGGCAGCTTTTCACTTTCCGCCTTGGCCAATTGGCCAACGTCCAACAGTCAATAGTCAAACATGCAACATGCAACATTCAACATTCAATGCCGCATGTCGAACACCGCAACACCAAAACGTCGAACAAAGTTAGTCATTTAGTGACTTTGCCTGAGATTTGTGTGATTTCAAACCGATTGTCGAACAAAATAAAATAAAATAACAAAAAAAAAAAAAAAAATCAGAAAAATAACTGCAACTGTCATTTTCGATTGGCGACCTGCTGGGCTTGCCCCACGTTGCACAAACATTTTCTGGCTGTCTGCCTTGTCGAGAGGCAAAATGTCAATTTGCGTTGTTTACTTTTAAAACTTTAATTTTTGTCTGCTGATTTTTATTTTGGTTGCCTTTGCTGCTGTTGTTGTTGTTGGGGGTCTTTTGAGTTGCATTCGTCGCGCCTTCAATTGCCGCAATTTACCGCGTCCCTCCAGCCGCTGTCCATTGCCCCTCTGGCCTTATTGGCATTAGCCGCGCTATTGAGTGTTAATTAAGCGTTTATTCAACATTCGGTGTCAAAGTTGTCTTTAAAGAGCCGAAAATTAATGCCATTTTGTGCCGCAGCTGCCATTGTTATCAATTGAAAAACTTTAACTTCGTTACCGATTTCCATTTCCGATTACGTTTTCGATTTCGGCAACAAGCGTCAAAGTCCAACCAGCAACTTCATCGATCATTGTGTGAGCCCACGTTTCGCTTGCTTTGATATGGATATGAATATGACTGATTGACCAGACCAGCCGCACATATCTAAATGTTCAACCCGTCTGAACGTCACGAACCCTTTTAATTGACTTTTAATGAGCGTCAAACAATATGCGGCATGCTGCCTAATAACAGAGAAAATTCAAAAACCGGCCAAAACAAATTTACATACTTGCGCATAATATGACAGATTTGCGTTTTATTGGCATTTATTATAATTATTTATTCAAGCTTACTTGTATTTCTATAACTAATTATTGACTGGCAATCACAATATCCTGTCAATTTATTGATTTCCGCTGTGGGTATAAAATTTCCGCAATTTTAGAGTTCATTTGGGTAATTTCATAAGGTAATTACAATGTGAAAAGATTTGAGATAAAATATAGCATAAAGGTAATTTATTGAAATATTTCGGAAATGTTGTTTTGTAAACATTTTCTTATATATTATTCCGTAGAAATTCTGACTCAATATCAAGCAGACTTATTTGTAAAATCGACTCAAAACCTAGACAAATGATTCACCTTTTCATTGGCATTTACAAGTTGCACATGTACGACAAATTTTCCGACTTTGTTACCTAGGAAATGCAACGGTAAATGCATATTATCAGCAAGCCTGTCTGCGTGTTGAAACTAAGCCAAGCTAACGGAGGCGACACACTGATAAGCATCAACAGCGACCGGCACAATAGCACACAACAGTAGTTATTCCCCTGCCAACCCCTCTTGTGCCAGTTAGGCACTCAACTGAGTGTGTGTGTGCGTGTGTTAAAGCGGCAAGCTGCAAGTTGCGAGCTGCAACACTTTCATACAACTTTATCACGACTAAATCTCAACGGTGACTGACTGAACTGACTGACTGACTGACGTGGACTTGATTGAAATGCGACGAGCGCGTCGACATGCCGAGTGGGTGGCAGCTGGGCATGGAAACGGCACGGCACGGCAGCGGCAGCAGCAATGTTCAACGTGCATGGTGCATGGTGCGTATGTATTAATTAGTGTCAAGTGTTGTCGCTTTGAGTTACGCGCCCGGGGGATTGCCATTGCCGGCGTCATCATCCTTACTGCAGAGATAACACAAAGCGATAGCAGCAGCAGCAGCAGCAGGAACAACAGCAACTTGTTTGTCCAAGCCGACAACTGCTGCTGCTGCTTCTGCTGCTGCTTCTGCTGCTGCTGCTGCTGCTTCTGCCTACTGCTACTGCTCCTGACTGCTGCCTGCAGCTAGAAGCTGCCTGCTCCGGCTCTGCGTAATCGATGATGACACGTTTTGCCTTTGCCCATGCGCACTGCTCCTGCCGCTGCTGCCGCTGCTGCTGCTGCTGCTGCTGGCGTTGCAAATTGCTGGGGAACTGCACACAAAATGACAGGCAAAAGCTGACAGAGACTCTGTTAAATTTATAAACACACTCGTCTGGGCTATCTACCACTGTTTTTGCGCATCCAATTACATTTATATGCTCGTAAACTAAAAATTCTGCACAGCTTGCGGTCGGCAATGGAACTGATAATTATCTGGCATCGAGCGAGCTGGGCAGGCACCTCCTCAACCCAACTAGCCAGCCTTATGAATATGCACATGTGTAAACTGTAGAAATCGCACTTTAAATAGATTTTCTACATTTATTGATTTACGGCCACGCGATTTCCTGTATGACTCAAAGATGAGTCATAAAAAAAATATCAAATTAACGTTTGAGATAATAAAAGATTTTCATAAAAGTAAAGTCACCGAGAGAAAACTTGAGAATAAACAATCTCAGACTCTATTATAGCGAAGCTCTAGGGCCACTCCATTAATATAGTTGCTTATTCGAACACATCTTATCTAAACAAATAAACAAACAAAAAAATAAAGAAATAAATAGATAATAATTTGAATAAAAAATCTATTAATTATGGTGGTGACCATATGTATAGCTACAAATTTGAGAAACTTGCCGCCTGTCTGAGAGACACTTAATTATTGAATTCTGTGCGCTGAAACATTAATTATAACTGTTTGTCTATGTGTTAAGATTTATGATTTACAAGATAGTCGAATGTTCTTACTTAATCACAATGGAATGTGTTTTTATCTCAAGATCGAATAGAACAAGTTAAGATTGGTTAAGATTGATAAGCATTAATTTTTTAGTATGTGGGTTAGTTTTTATGCCCTTGTATAGGGTATTGTAATTTGAACATGCAATGTGTAACGCATAGAAGGAGACATGTCTGGCCACAAAAAGAATATTTTCTCTAGATCAGCATCAACAGTCGACTTGATAAAGCCATGTTCCTTTTGTCCGTTTGTTTGTTTCTAGGCTACTAGTCTTCTATATGTTGGAACTGGCTGGATCGGATCGGATCACTGTATCGTATATATGCAGAATTTTATCATTCTCGGACCACTATATCATATAGCTTTCATAGAAACTATGGTATGAAAACTTGATTCTTATATGGTCATTATTCCCAAAAATTTTCAAAATAATTTAATCAAAATACGAGCTTCAGTATTCTCACATATCTGCAAATGTCTTCTAGGGTATTAAATCTTTGGAGTGCCGAAGATATTCTTATTTTCTCGTTTTATTCTTAAATTTATGTGATTTTTACTTAAGATCGAATATTTTAAATTGGCAAATCACCTTTACGAATAGTTCACAGCTTGTAGAATGACATATGATATATGAGAACAATATTTATAAGATTTTGCCAATATGTTTTGATTCAAGTGCTAGCTTAACTTCTTCATAAATTATTACCTAGCAGTATTCAAATGTTGTCTATATTTTAAACTCCCACACTAGTCTTAGACCACACTTGTGCTTCGCAGACTATCAAAAAATAATTTCCTCGACCACATGTAAGATCTAAAACGACGCTCCCAGTGCAGCAGCTCAGCACCTTTTCGTACTCAATGGAAATTGCAGCCAGTGATTGGTTTTTACCAAACGTAAATTGGTAAAAAACAAAAAGAAAAGCAAAACATATATTATATTGCATTGGTGTGAAAATTGTTTGGCCTGCAGGCGGCAGCAGCAAATGCGGCAGTGTTACTTATGTGGCACCTACGATAAGGCGGGCGCGCGCGCACTCCCAATAACAATATACGTCATATGGGCAGGAACTCGTATGGCCAGCCAAAGATATTGCAGTTTTATGTTTTTTTCTAGTTCACGAGCTGTGGTCGGTGCTGTGTGTGTGTGTTGCCAAGGCTGGTTTTAGATATATACATATAGATAGTGGCAATTAAAATTCCGCTACTAATACGATATCTTAAGCATGAAATTAAAACATGTTTTTTCAATTTTTCATTACGAGCTGAGGTTTGTCTATGGATATTGTCGGTTAATAATCAATTACGTGTTGTCATTGACCTTCAATCTAAGCCAAAGATCTAGCTGCTTTTTTTCTTATACATCCACGCCCCTGCCTAATAGGCATGGCAATTACCTTATTATAAAGCCGCTTAACTTTTATTTTCCCTCTATTTATGAAATTTTAATTTGATATTTCAACATAGTTGTCAATCACAGCCGTTGCTGCCACATTTATTTCTCTAATAAGACACAGAGCTGCCGTTTTTGGGGAAGCATTGTATAGTTTTAACTACCTTCGGGCCCGGCCCTTTTCGCTGATGTTTGGCGCTTTTGTTTGGGTCTCTTGTTAATTTTATCGTTAACTTTTTTTTCATTTTCTTGTCGTTTGTCGCGGCTGCCGTTGCCGACATGATGATGGTGATTTTGATGAGTTCCCGAACCCGCTTTAAACACACTTCACATAATTTGGACAGCCAGCAGCAGTTGAAACGCTCGGCCTAGCCCACGCACTTGTCATAATAGATTCATTTATGATTTTATGTGATTTTTTTTATTACCATTTATTTGTTGGATATTTCATATGCAGGTTGTTTTTGCCTGTGCACAAACTGTAAGCTGCTTTCAGCTCTGAACAGTTTTAAATGTTGCCTTTTTACATATTAAATTCAAATGACGGGTTCGGTTTTTACGTACCTCATAAATACATGAACGAGTTCTGAAATGGCAAAAACAGAAATATATAAGTATTAGTTTAATTATCCAAAAATAATATAGGTTTAAAATATTTCTGTGCTTCTGCATCATCATTTCATTCATCATTTAAATAATATGAAATGAATTTTTTATGTCAAATATATATCTGAATGCTCAGTTAATATCGGTTGTGCGCAGCTGTACCGAAAATTTTGTTAAATTAATAAAAAAGCAGGAATCAAGCACTCGAAAAGTGTTGCCTACTTCAGGGCGTTCAAGCACCATCACGAACACATTCTAATGAACATATACAAAAATTTTGAAGTGCATGTCGCGACGATGACGCGACGCTTCTGGCCCCGCGCCACGCCCCCAGCACCTCGAGGGAACGTCTGCAATGCAATTTGATTGTTGGAGTTGGAGCTGGTCTCCAAGTCTGTGACCGTCTGTGGCTGTCTGTCTAGCCAGCAAAAGATTGCGTTAAATGCAGGCATTGTTGTTGTTTTTGCTTTTGGGGGCCTGCAAGTCTCCAAAGCGCAAGACAATTGAGTCTGAGAGCGTAATTTGCAACTGCCTGAGACACGTAACGTCCGCCGACGGCGGCAATGACGAGCCTGCTCAGGATGCAGGCCCAAATCCGACTGGCTGGCAAGCTGAAGTGCAAGCAGGAGCCAAGTGCAACAGCGCCTAATGACTGTGGAGGGGGGCAGGCAGCGGGCGCACGGGCAGCAGCTGCCCGTCGACTGCCAGTCATGTAGCTACGCCTACTACCCCAAGCTCCGAACTCTGTTCCGCCAACTCCTCCTGCCGCTGGCTGCGACTGCGACATGTTTGCTGTTGTTTTTTGCCTAGATGCATTTTGCAACCAAAGCGCTGCTGCAGGCAAATGCACCAAAAAAAAAAAAGAAAACAAAAACAAAAAATAAAACATGCAACGACAACAACAACATGACGAAAAGTGTGTGCACAGTAGCCAGAGCCAGGAACGAAGTTGAAGCTGGAGCTGGAGTCGGCGCAGACATCGTCCTGTGGCATATCCAACAGGCGTTAATAATTTTTTTTTGCCTTCTACAAAAATGCAACGAGCTCTTTTTCTATTTTTTTTTTTGTGTTTGAAGAGGGGGCTGCTTCACTTATACCCTGTAAGCTGTGTGTAGGATAGGCTTTGGCAAAACACTAAGAAAATTAATATATTAACTAGGTTTATTATTTTTAATAAGTAATGACAAAGGTTTATAAAGAATGTTAACTTTTAACCTTTTATATACTTCTTTCGCTATTAATTTATTTTTCTTATTATTACTAGCTAAAAGAAATTAAAACTTTTACTAAATATTAGTACACAGCATTCGCTAGTCGTTTATTTTTAGCTTAAATTCCGCTGCAGTTTATTTTTTTTCAAGTTTTTCTTTTGGGCCTTGGATTTCAGTATTTATTTCGAAACTTTTTCATTTTGTGCAGTCAGACGACGTCGTCATAGAGAGTGCATTGACTGAAGTCTGCAAAACCAACAAAAAAAACACACAAAAAAAACGACGAAAAAAACAACAAGAGTGTAGTCCGTGCCGGAGCCTAGCCGAGTCTAGGCAACTGCATCCTTTGTTGATATGTAGCGACATGCATTTGCTCCGGAGGAGTCTGCAAAGTCGCTGGTTGTGCGAGAGGGGGGGGGGGGGCACAGTGCAGCCAAAGTTCAGTAGCTGGCAGCTTTTGTGTGTCTTCTGGGAAACACTTTAGCCGGCACGGAAAAGTTTGCCATAATTAACGCTTAGCTTTCGGCTTGGCGCAGTTAAGTGTTATTAGTTCGGGCCAGGTTTTTTTTTTGGCATTGTTAGGGCAGCGGGAAGGCAGGAAGTGGCGTCACACAGGAAGCGCATGAGAAGTCGTTGCACTTGGGTAAATTGTGCGCCGGCTGCGGCCACCCACACACGCACTTGAGCCTGCACCGTGCCGGGCCAGCGTAGCCTGCGAGTCAACAAACAGTTGTTCTGACAGGCGGCTGCCACAGCCATTGCCACTGCCACTGTGCCTGCCCCTGCCACTACCACGACTGCCGTCAGCAGCCGGGCCACCTGCCCGAAATGAAATTCGTTTAAGCGAAGTAAATCATTAAAATGGCAGCCAAAGCCGCCAACGGAATGGCCAAAAGAAAACATTTGCGAAATTTCAGCACCAGTGAAGCCTGAAACAAAGGAATATGCACAACAACAACAAAAAAAAAACGAAATGCGGGCGCACAACAAGCAGACACACACAGTATACACACACACAGTGCACACACCAAATAAAACACATTTAATAGGAGCATTTCCTTTTTTTTTGCCGCTTAAAAAACTTGCCTCCGCGGCGTTAAGGAGCTGCAGGAAACTTGCTGTGGATTATTTATTTTATTTCATTTTATTTTGTTTATGTTTTTTTTTTGTGCTGTCCTCCAATGGGGGTTGTCTCAGTTGTAGTTATTAGTGCGCGGTTGCACGCGAATTTGTTTTAGTTTCTTTGTGTTTGGTTTTTGCTGCTGGGTTTCAGTTGATTTTGTTGTTGTTGGTTGCATCCAAAATCCAATTAGCTGCTCAAAAGTTTTGCAAATGTGCGCAGAAAATTAATTAATGTTGACACAAGTTTCGACCGTGAATTGAATTAAATTGTGAGAGACAAAAGCCGGGAGCAAGAGGGAAAGAAAGAGACAGAGAGAGAGAGAGGAATAGCGAGTGAGAAACACGCAAGACAAAAAGAGAATTTAGGAACCAGGAAATAAGCCTTAGAAGAAAATACTCTTTACACTTTAAATGTGAACCGCTCTTCTATGCGATTCTCACCCGAAATCTTATTTCCACTCTTATTCAAGGTAATTTGAAAGGCGATGCTTAAGAGGGAAAGAAAGGCGTCAGTCGCTCTTAACTCTCCGACTCTCTATCTTCTAGTAACAAGAACTACTTTTTCTTTCCATAATTTCTCAAAAGTATTTCTGAAAAATTTTTTAATTTAACGAAATCCACTTGTCGAAAACTCAATAAACCTTTGCCCCACCTTTCACATATTAGACACACTCACCTGCCATTTCTCCCTTGAAACACATACAGCTTCCTCCAACCTCCAATTCACGAGCAGTCAATAACTCAACCGAGCCCGCAACATTTGCAACATTTCAAACGTCAGAGCATACAGAAACGGAGCATTTCCAGAACCCTGGCCTAAAGAGATAGAGCCAGAGTTGGAGCTGAAGCGTCTATTTCAATTGGACTTGCTTTCCCATTCCCATTTGAGTGCTCGCACAGAGGCCAAAGACGGGGCCAGGCCACCAAATGGTAGTCGGTGGTGCAGCTTTTCAAGCGTTAAAACATAAAAATGTCATTAACACTCAACAGATTTCTGGTGCGCAGCGCCAATGGCCAACACCAGGCAACAAACCGACAAACAACAAGAACAACAAACGGCTTAAATGGCCAATAACAAATTGCTGCAAATGTTCGTTGCAAAAAGAAACAAAAATAAAAACCAAAAAAAAAAGAGTTGGCAACAAACAAGCCACAAAGAACGCAACGTCTACACAACCGCATGGGGAATAGTTTTAGACATATTTTTGCAGTTCTTGTTGTTGTGGTTGTTGTTGTTGACGGCGTTGTTGTTGTTTTCCATTTCGCTGTTGTTTTTACGTAGACGAAAATTTATTTGACGCTCGACTCGACTTGCAGACAAGAAAATGACACAGAAACCGAGTTAACTTCGAAACGCGTTTAGGTAAATTGCGAGCTCAACTCGGGGCCTCAACAACAACGGCCTCCAGGCCGTAGACCTGCCTCCCCCCAAACAGTGCCCCTGCCCCCGTAACAGCAAACCCTGCCCCCGCTCGATCGTTTATTGTCGCGCTCTATTCGCGCTAGGGTATCATTTACGCCATAATTTTTCACAGCTGAATATTCTGCTTAATGGTTTTTAATGAGCGGTTCGAAACGCCGCTCAGCAGAAAAAAAAAATATATATAAAAAAAGGTGTTGAGAAATATGCCTGATTTATAGAAACTGCAGCCTGTATTTAACGCCCAGAGCCGCAGTTAATTCAGCCGACCCGCTGCCCAACTCTGGGGCGGTGCGAACAACCTACATTGGCAGGCCCACAGCAGCGAGCTGTTGTTAATAGTTTTGGCAGTTCAGATAACCGCTTGGATCTGGGACAGCTTAATGGGATTTGTGGCTTGGTTGAGAAAGTGATTTCAAGTATAGTTGCGATCATTCTCACTTTATGCCAATATACAGATGGCGTAGAAAATAACAATGATTATAAATAAAAATCTTTTTTATTTTATAACTTAACTAGATAAGCTTTGAAACCGATTTATACGAATTGGCTATGTTTAAAGTAAACGTATTAGAGAAATTATAGCTTGAACAATTTTATTTGCTTTTCTTAAGTCATACAAAATCGGTTTTGAAATCCCACTATATTAATATAGTATACTTTCAATTTATTATGATTATCGATTATATATACTTTTTTTTATAAATAATGTTTCATGCACAATTCGTTCCCTTAGCATGTTAATATTTTACGTTATAGCGACACACAATGCCTTCTTGGCTCTATTCAGTTGACGCCCACTTTCTTTCACATGTGCTAACCACCTTCAACATTCTGCTTTTCGCTAAGTTACTTTTGTAACACGCTGTGCGTTTATCAGATTGCAATCCTTAATTAATATAATTAATATAAAAGACGGCTACGTTTGCAGCTCACATCATTAACTTTGGCTACGTGTATAATTTGAAAGAGCCACTTCCTAGCCTAATGCATTTTTATTAAATTAACCGTTTAGGTTTCAAATTAATTTTAATTACGCCAACTAGAGGCCTGTTGCCTGGTGCCTGCTGCCTCTTGCCCGTTGGCTGGTCCTCAGATGCAGCTAAGATACGCTCATAAACGTGTGCCGTAAACGGTCGCGCAGCGGAAATAACAACAACAACAACAACTGTTGTTGAGCAACAGCAGCAATATTAACAAGAGAGAACTTCTAATGTCGACTCGCCG